AATCTGAGAGAAAACGTTGCCTTGAAGCAGTTATATTTATTAAGCACTGACATGTGAGTAAGCACTCTAGAAGAGACAGAATACCCTATACCTACCCTAAAGAACTTTTTGGTGGGGGAATATTTTTATCTTTTAATAAATAATAAAGCATTGCATTTCTTGTTAATATTTGTTTTCACATTCCTCTTTTCATGAGTTGCTTTAGGGATCTAAAAACCATTATTTTGCTTTGTTGGGGGGTAGTGACAACTTTTGGAAAACTTAGCGCACATGTATCTGACTTTCATTGAGACTCTGCTATCACCCAGTTTTCCATCTAGGTTGACTTGCTTGAGATACAATCAGTAATTTAATCCTGGGGCGGAAATCCAAGATCCCTGTCCCCCTCCTCAAATCCCTTGTTCTAATCATTAGTCTGCACAGCCTCGTTCTCATCACAAGGGCTGCTGAGCTAATGGAGATGGAATCTTGCCAAACCATTTGTCCCAATATTCTTCCATTTCGTTCTAGTCTGCTACCCAACTTCAGTAATAATGAAGTATGTTGTTGTGCTCCCAACTCCATCTGGAGAGGAGATCGTGCATCTGTTGGACTCAACTGTTAGATACGGAGGCATCCGATTCTCTTTCTGCTTACATAGTGGCTGCTTTGCTCACTTCCGAGATACCCATCTTTCCCAAGGATATTAGAAATACAGTGACAGATAGCTTGAATGTTGGGGATAGGCAACAGATAATTGCTGAGGGAAATATGTGATTGTAATTCGTTCTAAATAACTATTAAGAGTTGTGATGACCCCAGCCATCAGTTACTTCTTGGCACCTCAAATACCCCTAGGCTGCCCATCCTAAGTGGTAAGAGTCAAGGGAAATATATTACTGGAAATAACATTAACATTCTTATAGAGAAATGGTTCTGAACCAGGGGTTCAAGTACCTGGGGGTACTCAGAGGTCTACAAGGGGGTACATCAACTCATCTAGATATTTGCCTAGTTTTACAACAGGCTACATAAAAAGCACTAGCAAAGTCGGTACAAACTAAAATTTAATACAGACAATGACTTGTTTATACTGCTCTATATACTGAAATGTAAGTACAATATTTATTTTCCAGTTGATTTATTTTATAATGATATGGTAAAAATGAGAAAATAGGCAATTTTTCAGTAATAGTGTGCTGTGATACTTCTGTATTTTTATGTCTGATTTTGTAAGCAAGTAGTTTGAAATTTGCAAGACAAATCAGACTCCTGAAAGGGGTACAGTAGTCTGGAAAGGTTGAGAGCCACTGTTATAGAGTGCTGTATGTTCATAATTTGTTAACTATAATTTCAAATTTCAAACACTGTAGGTGAAATCCTGGCTCCGTTAAAGTTAATTTGAGTTTTGCTCTTGACTTCAGTGGAGTCAGGAATTCACCCTCTGTTTTCAGTTAAACGTGTCCTAAAGATGTTCTGAAACTAAAATAATTTTCAAATTCGGTTTTAATGAAAATTAAAATCTTGGATATGCTTTAATATAATAACTTGATTTTTACAAAAATATTAGTCCCATTTATTCACCTGTGTGTCAAATTGTAGTATTGTTAGAAATTCCATTATTTCAGACTGTATTCTGATTGAAATTGTGTGTAACTTCTCTTGTAATTTTGTAACTCAGCCTAAAAATTGGATAATAGGGCTGTGGTTTTCATTTTAAGCACCTTCCCCCAACTATCAGTATTTTCACACCCACTTCCACATGAAATGAAGTATTTTTAAGTGGCTTCTGATGTATGTACCACGTTTACAAGCAAAGAAAATTGTGTTTCCTTTCAACGCATCACCTGATGAGGGTGAAGTATGTAAAATAGGCTTTACTGCTCTCAGATTACTGCTCTCTATTGTTTGGGATGGTTCATGATGGATTGTTTTAAAAACAATATAACCACCTTTTCCCCTCCCAAGACACATCTATTGGTATATATATTTCTGGTTACAGTTTTCACCTCGTCCTCGGAGGCAGAATTCCAGTGATGTTTCCCAAACTTCCATCTCTCCTCTGTATAGTGCTAGTGCTGCTGCTGCTTTAGCTGTACTGTAGATGAGCCAGTTGGTTATGGGTTTAAATTTGGACAAAAAATAAATGAGGATTACACCCTTGCCTCGGAAACATTGCGTTAAAAATTATTATAATATTTTCACTGAGATATTAGCTGCTCTTGTTCTCTTTATATTTGTTTAAAAATACTGTACTTGTTCTGTCATGTTTGTTTATTTTCTTTAACTCTCACTGTAATTGTGAGTATTCTTAAATCCATTCAGTCACAACAAAGAGATGCGTCTAATTCTGTTTGGCCAAGAATTCCACATTTCTTCCAGAAAGAATAACAAAAAGTCCATTTTGATTGAATCTTGGAGCTTTGTATTAATCCTTTCGTGACTGTGGTATAAACCCATGTAAACATTAATTTGGTTGGCAATCTGGAAAATGCCAGCGATAAAAGGTGGAAATGTCACTTCACATTCTATAGCAGTGAATTCACTACAATGCAGCTTACAAGCACAGTAAATACAAAAACTATATTAAAGATTATGTGAGTTTAATTTCAGCACTGCACAGTTAACTTTGCTACTGTCATTTATGAACAATTTCTTCCAAAATTGGCCAAATGTGTAGAGAAGAAATAAAGATTGTATGGCTACTTGTAGCCAGTTCTTGAATGTAATAGATTAAATGCAACTAAGTAAGTAGCAACATAGACTTAGTTACTGTAATGAATGACACCTGATCCACTCTCCAAATTAATTTAAGTAGGATGGTTTGATGAACCAAATAGCTCTGATGTACTCTAAAGTTTCTTTCTTACAGTTAGCATCAGTGGCCTATGTTATGTTTGGGGAAAGGTTGAGAATGACCTAGTCAGTTCGACAGTAAGTATGTCACTACAAACTGGAGTTTTCAAAACTTTGAACAAGGGCACAGTATCCAGAAAGTAGGAAACGTTTGAAATGTCATTGTAAGTTAGTAGTAATGTGGAGTAAGATGAGGTGCGACTTCCTTGGAGTAGAAAACATGAGGGCCAGAAAAATTAAGTGTAGTAGGGTGATTGGACTATGAGGTTTGGGCAAATACCATACGTTGAGTAAAAATACTAAAGCCTTGTTTTCTGTAGAAAATTTCAGTTGAACTGTTGTCACTTACTTGTAATTGTTCAATGTGTACACACAAACCATCTTGGCTAGTGTAAATTTGTGCAATGTTCCTATGCACACAGCAACCATTGAAGTACCTGCAATTGTGGGAAACCAGTCCCTGATGTCATGGCTTTTGAGAGTAGTAATCCACACTTCGTAGGGGTAACTGCTTATTGTTTCCATGTCTAGGAAAATTTATTCATCCTAAATTTATTCATATACAAATCTGGGCTAGAATATACTCTTTAAACACTAGCCAAACCACGTTTACAAACTGCTTTAGCTGGAGCTGTGTTTAAAGTGAATATAAACATGATTAACTCAGTTTGAAGCCTTGTGTAGACAGGGCCTTATGGGACAGAAGAAATGTAGATGCACTCTGATAGCATATTTCTTAGTAGCTTCATTGTGGATGGAGAGGGGAACAAATTGCATTTGCATCAAGATTGTAACTTTGCACACCGCTTTCATAAGAATATACATTAATTTAGCAGATATGAAGATACTTTACAGTAGTGGGTAAAATCATTACAAGGTTTGATTTTAAATTTTCATTTAGTTTTTTTTTTTAAAAACTAAAAAAAAAATAGGAGGCGCTTGTGATATTAAGTGTTCTGCTTTGTGAGCTCTTTCACTTGGATAGTTTGATAAATGAATGTTTGTTAAGAGTTAATTAGATTTTGGATGTATTTTATCTTAATTTGGTCTGTGTAACTTATATATATTTGACAAAAAACAATTATGATAGCTAAAACTAAGGATTATAGTGTAAATAGTATACTGTGAAATAATGGAAAGGCATAGTGAAAACAATGTGTAATATTTTTAAACAGAATATTTTATATAAAAAGGTTGCAAGTTTTTCTTTTATGTACAAATCTAGCCCTAATTATTCTACAGTGATGTTTTACACTCTGCCCTAAAGCTCAGTTACATACAGTAATGTTAACACTATTTGCAGTGTATCTCAACAGCAATGTCAGGCAACTGGGTGACATCATGCCTGTTTGAGGAGTTTGACTAGGACGGGGGAGGGCAAACTATGGCCCATGGGATTGTCACCCCCGTGGTGCTGCGGGGCTAAGGCAGGCTCCCTGCCTGCCCTTGCCCCACGCCACTCCTGGAATCAGCCGGCACCACATCCCTGCGGCCCCTGGGGAAGAGGGGGGGCAGAGGGCTTCACACGCTGCCCTCGCCTGCAGGCACCACCCCCCGCAGCTCCCATTCGTTGGGAACAGGGAACCGCCAATGGGAGCTTCTGGGGAGGTACCCGTGGATGAGGGCAGCGTGCGAAGCCCTGTGCCCCCCCACTCAGGGGCCGCAGGGACATGGTGCCGACCGCTTCCGGGAGTGGCGCAGGGCCAGGGCAGGCAGGGAGCCTGCCTTAGCACAGCTCCGCACCGCTGCCACCCCGGAGCCGCTCAAGGTAAGCGATGCTGGGCCGGAGCGCGCACCGCAAACCCCACCACCCCACCCCCCTGCCCTGAGCTCCCTGCTGCACCCCACTCCCTGCACCCCAACCCCCTGCCCTGAGCCCCCTCGTACACTCCACACCGCTCCTGTGTCCCAACCCCTTTCCCTGAGCCCCTTCCTGCACACCACACCTCCTCCCGCACCCTGCACTCTCTCCCGCACCCCAACCCCCTGCCCCAGCCCTACATTCATGGCTCTGCTTCAAATTCCCCACCCAGATGTGGCCCTCGGGCCAAAAAGTTTGCCCATCTCTGGATTAGGAGCTGGGCACTGCACCGAGCCTGGAGCCACCAGTGATGTGTGATCACCAAGTTGACCGGGACGGTGCCCTGCTGTCCCCAGAATACAGAATGGGGACTGATGGGAGCCAGCAGCAGGTGCCAAGTGAGGACAGTGAAAGGACTCTGTTGCTGAAACCAGTCCCAGAGGAGGCTTTGCAGCAGGAGCAGCAGCAACACGTCCTGGGACCATACTCAGAGAAGCTGTTGGATGTCTTCCCCCCCCGCCCCCGAGGAACAGCCTGCCTCAGAACCTGCAGTAGACACGGAACAGACAGAAGCAGCTTCTGAGCCTGGTTCGTTTCTGGCTCCATTTTAATTGTAACCCTTCTGCCCATCTAAGTTGGCAGCAACAAGGGCCGGGTTCTGTATCTAGGGGTTCCGTTTCAATAACACAATGCAAAACCGGCTCGAGCCCCCACCCAGTGACCTGGGACAATTACATACCACCCCCCTGGGTACCTCTAAGAGGCAATTCTTCCCCTCTCGCAAGCACGGAGTCTGAGTGTAGCAGAAAATGTTTAATAACATGAGGTAAACGACATCAGCATAAAATTGGAAAAACACCACAAACAGGATTCATAACGCAAACCATGAGCAAAACCCACCCCAGCAAATGGGGCTGTGTCCTTTCCCTTTGGTTCTTGAATCCAGCAACCCAAAAATCACCCAGAGTCCCCCAAGTCCAACAGCCCCAAAGTCTCTTGGGTCCAGCAACCACCCAAAGTCCCAAAAGTCCAACAACCCCCAAAGTCTCTGTCCCTGGTCAGTGCAGCCCCAGAGTAAAAGGGGGGGGGCACGCAGGGTGTTAAGGGGCACCTTACGTGATCCGAGGCTGGCCAGCCGTCTGTTTCTCCGTGGGGGTTCCACCGCAGCCTTTACCACAAGCCAGTCCACTTTCCTGCCACCCCACGAACTGCTCCGCTCTACAAGCTGCTCCGCTCCGCTCCGCTCACCGACCTGTGTGCCGTTCCAGCCGTCCCCGCAAACAGCTCCGCTCGCCGTTCCTTGGGCCACTCCAACCGGCCCCACAAGGCTCCACGCCGCTCACTGCTCCTCCAGTCGTCCCCACAAATTGCTCCGCCAGCTGCTGAGCAATATAGCTTCAGGCTCCCCCACTAGTTAACACAGCACTCAGTGATCTCAGCTCTTAATAACATCAGCTCTTTTGTGATTTCAGCTCTTAGCAATTTCAGCTCATAGTATAGTAGGGGAGCCCCAGTGCTGGTGCACCATTGGCCCAAAGTGAATTCAGCTCAGCAGCCTGTAACTAGACTCCTAAGGGAATCAAAGTTAGCTCTGACATTCAACAGTGGAGAGAGGAGGCGGTGCAATTGGTGTTTCAAACCCTCAGAGGGGGCCCATACCATCAGGTACAAATACCTGTCCCCATCCTCTCTCCATTCACTGGGTTTTGTAACCCATGCCCCTTGTCAAGCAAGTGCTACTTAGGTAATGGTGAAGGACTCACTCAGTCCTTCTGTCATACAACAGTTCCACTGGCCTTGATTCACAGAATCAGGGTAACAAAACTTTATTCTTCCTGCCCCAATAATAGAGAAACTGGGGATCCCACACCAGCCAAAGTAACCACTTTCAGTTGCTGTGTTTCATGCCAGGCGAGTGGGTGTGCCTATGCAAACAAGATCAGCCCCTGGAGTTCTTTTCCACACTCGCCATAATTCGCCACCAGATGTCAGGGTAGAGCTCTTCCTGACTCTGCTTACATCATGTTTATTAATACAGTAATGAGAGAGTAATTGGTTCTGTTAACCAATGCAAAAATTATTAGAAGCCGCAGCTAGCAGCATGTATCCAATAATGGTGGATTGGATGTCAGCAGTGGCTTTGCTCCTCCTCCCCACACCCACCACTGCTTGGAATTCAAAATGGTGATCAGGAAAAGCAAACCGTAAACACCTTGAAAGTTAATTTTTACTGGAAAGGCACAGATTTTTGCTAAGGAATTCCTGTTTCTTAAAATAACAACCTTACACTGCCATACTTGTAAGTAAGCTGCTCTGAAACCACTCAGCCATGTAATGACCCACCTGGAAATAGTGAACTGTGTGTGAAGAGGAGGTGGAAATGTTTTCCATTTATAAATCTGGTCCATTTCAGGTAAAGGTAGTCCATGCAGTCCAGAGGTGACAAAATCATTTGTGCCAAATTCGACCGGGGTTTGAAATTTTGTCCAGAAATGGGGGAGGAGGGGACACTAAGGAGGAAGGCTGTGGAGTTCTGTGTGTTTGCATGCAGCCATAACAGGCTAAGCTATGTGGAAGCTAACACATCATCCTGTTGATTCCCTCGTGAATTCTGACCCAATCCTGGGTGCTGATAGCTGCAAACTTTTCCTGAAGCAGGAACTCCAGGTAGGCAGTCAAGATTCAGGGAAGGGTTTATTTTCCAGGGCCAACTCGGTAGCTGATTAGCCCACTCCACTCATAGAAGTGCTGCTTAGTCACTATATATTTGAATAGTTTGGCTGCATACATGGCAGGTTTCCCACCAGCAGGAATAACATCTCCCTTTGCCAACTGGGCACCACAAGAACTGTTATGTCCTCCAAAATGAAAGGTTTGAAATGATAGAGAGAGCTTTTGTAGCACAGCCACTGATGACACACACCCACACCCCCACCCACCCACCCACCAAGTAGTTCTGCAGCTTTTACAAAATGAAAAACATCTTTGAATTTTTAACTTACCATTGTCTTTGCACTTCTTTCGCTGCTATTAACCTGGCTGTGTCCAGGGAGCTTCTGTGGTCTGAAGCATCCCTCTCACAATATATTAAAGTTCAGTTTGGAAAAGTAGCATTTCATTTCCACAAGGATTTTTTTTCTGTGCTCCTGTACTCATATGTGCTGGGGGTGCTATCACACCCCCTGGCTTGAAGTGGTTTCCATTATATACAGGGTTTACAGTTTGGGTTCAATGGCTCTCAGCACCTCCACTACACAAATTGTTCCAGTACTCCTGCCTGCATTGACCTATTTGAGAAAATAATCCTCTGTGTCTTGTCCCATTCCAGGCCCCTCGCCCACTACATGCTGCGATACCTCCACAGCTCACCCATATTGCAACAGAAATGTGTTGTGGAGGTATTGATCACCGTTAAGATTCTGTCACGGGTGTTTTTAGTAAAAGTCAGGGACAAGTGATGGGCAATAAAAAAAAAAATAATGGAAGCCCATAACCTGTCCCTAAAAATACCCTGGGGGAGGAAGGGAGACCCGGGGACTGCTGCTCCGGCAGTCCCAGGGCTGGATGCCGGCGGGTGGCGTGGGGACCACTGGCCGCCGGCCACTGCTCCAGCCATGCCACTGCTCCAGCTCCAGGGGGGCTGACCCAACCCCGGCTGCTGCTCCAACCGTGCCCCAGAAGAAGTCCCGGAAAGTCCTGGAATCTGGGACTGCCGTGACCTCTGTGACAGAATCGTAGCAGTGGAGATTTGCCTGTAGGTTTTGCATAAATTTGTTATGGCAGGGTGCCATATCTCCGCTGCTATGATGATCAACCCACTACAACACACCTTTCAGGATCCATGGGTCCTACACATGCTTATCACAATAAGAGGTGCACTAATGTCCCAGTAACAGCTATGTGGGTGAAACCAGATAATCCCTATGCTCTCGAATGAACTCACACAGAAACATGATAAAAGACAAAAACATCCTATCACCTGTGGGTGAACGCTTTTCACAAAACAGTCACGCTAGATCTGACCTATCAGTCCTCATCCTCCAAAGAAACCCACACAACACCTTCAAAAGATGAGCCTGAGACAACTTTGCTAGACATTAAAAATCATGGCTTTAATAAAGACACTGGATTTATGGTTTATTACAGCATTCTGTAACCCACCATTTTTGTTCTCTGACTGAAGAGGTGTTAATGGGCCACTTCACCTTGTATTGTCTCTTAGAATATGTGTTAACTACTTATGCTAAACAAATTGTTCCACCTTGTATTTAGCTGTGACACTTTGGGTATGTCTACATTGCAGTTAGACACCTGTGGCTGGCCAGTGCTTCTGACTTGCAGTTGCAGATTTGGGGTAAGGGGCTGTTTGAATTGCAGTGTGGACATTTGGGATCATGCTGGAGCCTGAGCTCTAGGACCCTGCGAGGTGGGAGGGTCCCAGACCTCAGGCTGCAGCCCAAACCCTAGCGTTTACATCGCAATTAAAAAAAAAAAACCATTCTATTAAGGCAGCTGGCACAGGCCAGCTCCAGGTGTCTAATATCTCTGGGTGTCCAATACCCAGAGATATACCCTCTGTATACCTTTCCCAGACCTGAAGAAGAGCTCCGTGTAGCTCTAAAGCTCATCTCTTTCACCACCAGAAGTCGATCCAATAAAAGATATTATCTCCCCTTTGTATCTATAATATCCTGGGACCAACTCGGCTACAATGACACTGCAAAGAACAAAGTGTGTGGTGATTCTGAATCCAAGGATATCACTATTCTGTTAGGGATATCTTCTGTAGATCAGTATGACTTTGGGAACTGGCTGGCTCTGGAACTATATACACAAGGTATTTTATACTTGTCCTGGAGATTATATGTTTAATGCATAAATAGCTTTTAACTGGGATTTAAAAAAAAATTCTTCTAGAAGAACGGTTGGGGCTTTGACTTTTCTGAGATTGTGTGAGGTTGCTTCACAATTATAGACTACCTGCATATGAATGTGGATTCTCTGGATTTTACCCATTGTCCAGTTCTTTCAAACCAAAAGAGTTGAATAGATCTCACAGGGATGGCTATAAGCTTCGCTTTACCTTTGGATCTGGAGCGAATGTTTCAGAGACCAGACCACACTTATTGGGTTGTTTCAACATAAGAAGATCCCTCCCTCATTATATCAGCACTAAAGTATCTCATCCAACCTTGGTAACTGATGAATTCTGTGGATTTATGTAGCTTTTGTAAAAGAGCTGCTAAGTTATATTTTGGTTTCATTTTACCATCAGCTCTGATCTTTGGGGGATGCTCTCAGTTTCCTGACTCCTTGCTGTAAGTTGTTTGCTTCCTTAGCAAAAAGACCAGCTACAAAAAATATCTGAGAGCTAGGGCTTGTTAGATTTGATTCTAGTCCAGCACCAAAAAATTACAGCTAGACCAAGAAGCCAGTGACATCTCTAGACCTGTGAGGCCTGGAAACACACACACACAAATCTGTTTTTTGTATGTGGATTGTATGTCTCTCATAGAAGTATGGCTGATGCAAAATAGTTTTATTTGTCCTTGACTATCAATGCCAGAAAGGATCATTCAGGTAAATGCTTCAGGGTAGTGAAGAGTCTGATGAAACTGCAACTAAATAGACAAGGTAAGCTGTATTAATCAATTTTTTTGTTATAACAACCCTGGCCTTTAAGGAACAGAATGAGAGTATCCAGATTCTTTACTTTTGATTTTTGAGATCCCTGGGCCTCTAGTTCAGAGGTGGGCAAACTATGGCCCACGGACCACATCCGGCCCGCGGACTCCTCCTTCCCAGCCCCTGAGCTCCGGGCCCAGGAGGCTAGCCCCTGGCCCCTCCCCTGCTGTTCCCCCTTCCCCGCAGCCTCAGAGCGCCGCGCTGCCAGTGCAATGCTCTGGGCGGCCGGGCAGCGCAGCTGCAGAACCCAGCCTGACCCGGCACTCTGTGCTGTGCGGTGGCATGGCTGGCTCCAGCCGCTCCGTCAGCCACCGGTGCTCCAGGCAGCGTGGTAAGGGGGCAGGGAGCGGGGGGGGGGGAGGTTGGATAGAGGGCAGGGGAGTTTGGGGTGGTGGTCAGGGGGTGAGGGTGTGGATAGGGGTCGGGGTGGTCAAGAAGGCAGAGAACGGGGGGGTTGAATGGGTGCAGGGATCCCAGGGGGGCAGTCAGGAAGGAGGGGGGGTTGGATGGGGCAGCGGGGGGCAGTCAGAGAGAAGGGGGGGTTGGATGGGGCAGGAGTCCTGGAGGGGGGGTATTCAGGAATGAGAGGAGGGGTTGGGTGAGGGTTCCGGGGGCAGTCAGGACACAGGGAGCGGGGGTGTGTGTGGATGGGGCAGGGATCCTGGGGGGGCCATCAGGGAACGGAGGGTTGGATGAGACAGGAGTCCCGGGGGGGGGGGGTGGGCGTCGGCGGCAGGGGGCAAAAAGGAGGGGGGGGTAGGGGGGGGGGGGCCGGGCCTTGCCTGGCTGTTTGGGGAGGCACAGCCTCCCCTAACTGGCCCTCCATACAATTTCTGAAACCCGATGCGGCCCTCAGGCCAAAATGTTTGCACCCTCCCCCCACTCTAGCTTCACCATCCAGGTAGGGTTGGAGGTAGTGTCTGATTAGAAGTTTATCTGAGACCCCCTGTGACAGGGCTACCTTGTCTACTTAGTTTAAAAGATCATTTTATATTTAAAAGCTAAAATCAGGAGCAAAACATTCTGTAGAATTTATGCAAAGAGTTTATCATAATGGAATCTCTTTAAAATAAAAGTTAGACTGTAAGATCTACATATATAAAAAGGTAGAACAATATTAAGACGAGATAAGCCTGTAGAAACACAACATTCTTAACTCTCCCCATTGTACCTAAGTATTGCAGCAAATACAATGTGTCCCACCACCAGAATTTCTAAAACCATTGACATATCTACCATTGGACAGGTCTACACTATGGGGCTAAGTTGACCTAAGTTACTCAACGTAGTTTCTCACATCAACCCAGCTCGATGTAGACACCACAATAAGTCGACCTAAGGTACGTAGCTGGAGTCTACGTACCTTAGGTCGACTTATTGTGGTGTCTAAACTGTGCTGGGTCGATGTGAGAAACTTACCTTATGCTTCTCATTCCAATGGAGTACTGGAGTCGACGGGAGAGCAAGCAGCAGTCGATTTAGCGAGTCTTCACTCGGTGGATTGATCGCCACGCTCTGTAAGTGGAGACAAGCCCATTGACTTAAGTGGGATCAGGATCAAGGCCCTTGATGGTTTTAAAGAATGTAATATATGTGTTTCTGTATGTAACAATAACAGTGTTTGAAAACTTCTGACCAAATTCTGTCTTTGTGGACAGTCTGCAATAGCGAAGATTTCTTTTACAGGAATTTAGGCCTTACTGGACTTTGCCCAATTAAGACAGGGAAACTAAGTTTGTTACTCTTTAGGGATGAACAGTCATTTGGGAGAAATATTCTTGGAATGGTAAATAAATAACAATTATCTAAACCTCTGAGATTATGATGTGTGAAAAAAAAAACGAAAAATGATAGTTTGTGTACCAATCTCATTTTTTTTATAGACCAAGGAAATTATGCATTAACATTGAGATAATCAGCCAAATTCTGCTCTCATTTACACTAATAAATGACAATGTTCACCCGCACAATCTCTGTAGCTAAAACGTAGGCAACAGAACATAATATGTTTGTTATTAGCATCTGGGATAAAGGTTGGAGAAGGCTACATTACTTATGAGTATGAATGTATTTATAAGTAAATCACAGCGTAGTTCTCTCTTTTAGAAGCAAATGAGTCAAAAGATGTTGAAAAGATTTAGGTTTTATATATTTAATTTGCTTTGAAAATGATTGGTTAAGGACCCCCTTATTCACCCACTTAAATCTGATTGAGAGCTACTGTACTGAATCTGTACACTTTATACCTGAATAATAATATAAAGCATATATAAATAATATATGCAAGGATTGCACAAGCACAATATGAATGAATCATGGTATGCTCCATAAGATTATTTTGAAAGAGAACTACTCTGGATAATACAAAGACATTTTCATAGATTAGGGTATGTATACTTTAGATCAAAATACCATTCATGTTACATAAGAGAATCTTACAGGAAAGGTAGGGTGTGTGTATTTAATCTTTTTCACCTTTTACTTTCTGTTAGACAGGGCGCATGTTAATTTTTCCTTTAACACTGAAGTTATTTTTAGTAGCAAGGTGCAATATATTGCAGAGACTAGTATCTCAGCTATTTTTATGGTGAACCATAACGCCCCAAAGTTAAATAATATTTCATCCATATGTCCGGGTAGTTTCATAATGAGTAATTCATTTGATTAACTATAAGTGTTCCAAATCCTAGTTGCCCAGCTGCAAGTAGCTGAA